CGAAATCATGAAAATGATATCAGTCCAAACATTTGCTTCCCCCTTTGTGAAATGTTCACTAATACTTTGTATTTCCTCCGTTTGCCATTATAACCTCCTCCAACCTCTCTGGGTAACCTCTGAGCAGCTTTTGTATCCTCTCAGGTGTAATTTTAGCCCATTCTTCATTGCATAATTGTTCAAAGTCTACCAGACTGCTTGGTTGTCTGCCATGTACAGCCTTCTTCAAATCTATCCACAGCTTTTTCATGATATTCAGGTCTGGGGACTGGAAAGGCCATGGTAAAACATTCATTTTTCCTTATTCTTTTTAAACCATTCCTGAGTTGACTTTCCTTTGTGCTTTGGATCATTGTCTTGCTGAAGGATCCATTGCCTCTTCATTTTTAACTTTTTGACTGATGGTAGGAGGCTTTGCTTTAAAATCTTCTGATGTTAGGCTGTATTCATTCTTCCTTCCACTTTATTGCAGAGCTCCAATGCCTGATGCAGAGATACACCCCCAAAACATCAGCAGGCCTCCACCATGTTTGACTGTAGGAATGGTGTTCCTCTCCTCATAGACAGAGGTTTTTTCTCACCACATATACCTGTGCGAAGTATGACCAAATAATTAGACCTTGGTCTCGTCAGACCACATAATCTTTTGTTCACATGCTCTTCAGAATACTCCAAGCATGCTGCCTTATGTCTAGGAGTAAGCAATGGCTTCCTGCATGCTTTTCTCCCAAACAACCCAGACTTGTGCAGACTATGCTTGACTGTGGAGATGTGGACTTTTATTCCAGTTGCCTCTGAGGACTTTTTCAGGTCCCCTGCTGTTTGTTTTGGATTCTTACATAGCTCTCGAGCAAGTTTCCTAGCAGCTCTTTCAGTTATTTGTCTTGGTCTTCCACTTCTTTGAAGAGTGTTCATGAGTCCACGTTTCTTCCACCTCTGGATTATGGTCCTCATAGTTGGTACTGGTATCCCTAAACACTTTGAAATATTTTTATTTCCCTCTCAAGCTTTATGAAGGTTTACCAATTTCATTTTGAGGTCTTCTGACAGCTATTATCCTGATCCCATTGTTGTTGTTGCTCTCAGCAAACTGCGTGAGACTGCCCCAGGAGATCTATCCACATTTACATATAATATGCAAGGCCAATTTAAGATACCTGGTGCCACATATCAAGCATTAAGTGTTGACAGTGTTTATTAAAGATCAAACACCTGATTTTACAGATTAAAATTAATTACCGAGAGGGTATATCAAAGGGGATGCAAACTTTTGTGCTGATATAATTTTCATTATTTCACAATAACTTTCTTTTTGTACACTCTTTGACCATTTTTGTTACTTTTGATGATGAAGAAACATTTGTACGAGCTGAATGTGCATTAAATATTATGTTGATGAAAAAAATTCTTTGTTTTATTTTCTTGCCATTTCAAAGTACAGTAGTACCTCGCTCTATGAGAATAATTTGTTCCATGACCAAACTCATATGTCGAAATTCTCGTATAAGGAAACAAATTTCTCCATAAGAAATAATGTAAAGCCCATTAATGCGTTCCAAGCCCCTACAATACACATTTATGCTTGTCCCAGCAATACATAGCCCTTGTAAATGCATTGTCATACACAATAGAATGTGAGATAAAAAGTTATTTATCCATTTTACATGAAAAGAAGGTATAAAATGTTACCTGAAAAAATAGGTTATTAAAAATCAACATTCAAAAAAACATTAACAGAACTTTACCTTTACATGAATGATGCAAAGTTCACTAAGCACTTTGTGAACAAAAAAATGGTACACTAATGCAGCGAGCAAGAGTATGTGTTAACGTGGCAAACACGAGCGCAGAAGTGGACAGAGAGAGGCTGTAAGATGCGAGCGTCGAGGAAAGCTGAGCGTATCCGAGTAAACCTGAAGGCTCACCTTGCGCTCGCCGGGAAAAGCCAAGTGTGACTGAGTAAACCTGACGTCTCATCTCGCTCGCGTAAGGAGTTGGATGCTCGTCTCGTGACCAACAATACAAGTTGAAGAAGAAGTTCCTCGTAGGGGAAATACGGGGAAATACAAGCAAATTTGTGTGCTCGTGTCAAGAGACATGGCTCGTTTATCGGGTTACAAATCTTAGCTCGTTCACCAAGTATCTTGTATGGGGAGGCACTCGTTGAACAAGGTATCACTGTAGGGGGATGCAAACTTTTGCACTCAACTGTCCGTCTTTGCTTACACCGCAAGAACAATGTACATCGCTCTCTCTCCACTTGCTTCTGTTTTTTTCACCAGTTCAGGAAACAATTGCTTCATGAAATGCCCAGTGGGCTTCACTTTGTGCCACTGGCCCCCAGGTCCAGATAATGTGGATTCAAGTCACACTCTGCAACTGATTGCCTTCAGCTGGAATAACTGTAGGTGTGAATGACGGCCCAACAATCAGCCAAGCCGATAAAATATCACCAAAGTGTGAAATTACCAGGAGCAGAGTGGAAGGAGGGGAGAGCGCTAGGTCCGTTGCTCTGATTGGTCACTCCTGCTCTTGCTCAGATTGGTCACTCCTGCTTTGGTCATTTTTGAAATACATCTTGGCTTATGCTGCCAGAGTAACGTGTCACTTTCTCCAGTTGCTTCCAGTTTTTTTGTAACCAAATCAGGAAAATAATGGCACCAGTAACGGCCCAGCGGGCTTAAGTTTGTAGAACAACGTATCGCTTTCTCCCCTTGCTTCCGGTTTTACAACCAATTCAGGGAAACAATCACCTCAGTCACGGCCCAGCGGGCTTCAGCTTATAGAGCGACAGCCTCCAAATCCAGACAATGTGGATTCAAGTCCCACACTTTGTTTGCGCCTGATTGCGTTCCACCGGAACAGTTGGAGGTGTGAATGACGGCCAGACAATCAGCCGGGTGGTTACAATCTTACCAAATGTTAGAACCATTATCCATTCCAGTATTGCTGCTCACCATTGTGTCACACATAGGGTATTGTCTCCAACAGCAGAGTGGCGCAGCGGTAGAGTGCTGGGCCCATAACCCAGAGGTCAATGGATCGAAACCATCCTCTGCTAAGATGTCTTGCTTTGTACCTACCAGTGCAGAAGGCTTTTGCACTTGTTCGAAGGCAGGGGCTGATATGCAAAGCAGGATGAATTGAGAGTCGTGGGTCTCTGATAAGAGAATATGCTGCAACTTGAGCGTTCTACCCTCTTCCGGGCCTCGCAGAAAAAGGGTTGCACAGAACCAAAGTTCTGGGCCCTTAACCTTCCTCTTGTGTTAGGGTCGGCACCGACTCGTTTTTAGGTTTAGCATGCAAAAAAGTACGACATAAATTTTTTATTCCATTAAGACTTTTTGACTTTGTCAGGAACTTCTATTTAAACAAAATAATATCCAAAAAATAATTTTACTAAATTATAAAATGCTCTGGTGAAAATTATGACCTTTGTGTTGTTAGGGTCAGTTTCGACCCAGCTGAAATATAAGATTATAAAACAATAATAAATGCCAAAACTGAAATCATAAACACACAATCAGCCAACAGCCTACAGGCAGCTCTTCCTCCAACCACTTGAGCTTCAGTTAGGGGCTTTTCTCTTTGCCTGTTTGACAGAACAAACAAAGACAGACATGTCCAGGCATGTCAGGCCTATTGAGTTTATAGTTGGTGACTTGCACACATCTCCAATTTACAGCATGCAACAATGAGAAGAAGATTTAATGTGAGCCAAGCTCTTGATCATATCTTTGCTGACAATGAGGCAGAGGACACACAGCAGTATAGCGATAGCGATGAGCAGGTCTCTGAGGAGGAAGGTGATGTGGAGTATCAACCGGAAGACACAGACACATCTGATCAGTCTGATGAGGAAGTCACCAGTGCTGAAGCTGCTCCTGCTGAAACATTCAAATCCAAAAGGGGCAACATCTGTTGGAGCTCAGTACCTCCTGATGTACATGGCAGGACAGCTGCTGCAAATGTCATCAAAATGACCCCTGGGATCACTGTTTATGCCATTGTCACTAAAAAAAAGTCATAATTGCTATGACAAACCTTGAAGGAAAAAAAGTCCATGGCAACATGTGGAATGACATGGATGAGGAATACCTGGATGCCTACATTGGTGTTCTTCTCCTTGCTGGAGTGTACAGATCCAGCAATGAGGCCACTGAGAGTCTTTGACACGCATCGACAGGCAGGAATGTTTTCCGGGCAACAATATCATTTCAGATCTTTCGAATGATATCAAAAGTCCTCAGATTTGACAACAGAGACACCAGAGCAAAATCTGACAAGCTTGCTCCCACCAGGGATGTCTGGGAGAGATAGGTGCAACTCCTTCCACTGATGTTCAACCCAGGGCCAGAAGTGACAATAAATGAACGTTTTCTCCCTTTCCGTTGAAAATGCCCGTTCCGGCAACACATGTCCAGTAAGCCAGGCAAATATGGCATAAAAATCTGGGCAGCCTGTGATGCAAAAACCAGCTATGCATGGAATCTACAGATTTACACAGGCAAATCTGCAAGCGGCATCCCTGAAAAAAACAAGGAAAACATGTAGTCCTCGATATGTCTACTGGACTGCGGGGTCACATCGCTTGTGACAGTTTTTTTTACCAGCTATGACCTTGGACAAGAACTTCTCAGGAGGAAACTCACCATGGTGGGCACAGAAAAAAATAAACCTGAGCTGCTTTGGCTTACACTGCCAGAGCAACATGTTGCTTTCTCCCCTTGCTTCCGGTTTTATGACTAATTCAGGGAAATAATCGCCTCAGTAACAGCCCAGCACTCTTCAACTTATAGAGCGACGGTCTCCAAATCCAGACAATGTGGATTCAAGTCCCACTCTTTGTTCGCGCCTGATTGCGTTCCACCCGAACGGTGGGAGGTGTGAATGATGGCCAGACAATCACCCGGGGGGTTCGTCTTCTCAAATGTGAGAAAAGGTATCCGTTCCGGTGGGGCTGCTCACCATTGTGTCACACATAGGGTATTGCCTCCAACAGCAGAGTGGCGCAGCGGTAGAGTGCTGGGCCCATAAGCCAGAGATCGATGTATCGAAACCATCCTCGGCTAAGACGTCTTCCTTTGAACCTACGAGGGTGAAAGGCTTGTTCGAAGGCAGGGCCAATATGCGAAGCAGGGTGAATTGAGAGTTGTGTCTTTCTGATAATAGGTCGTGCTGGAACTTGGGCATTCTACTCTCTTCTGGGCCTCGCAGGAAAAAGAGTTGCACAGAACCAAATTTCTGGGCCCTCAAGCCAGAGGAGAAAGGGTTAAATGCTCAGTCCAATGATTTCAAACATAGCTGCATTCTCCTCTTTTTTCACCATGGGTTGACTTTTCCCCATGTGAAAAAAAAAGCCCCAGTGGTGGTGCTGCTCAGCTTTTACTGCTTGCATTTGAGACCATAACATCAGCCCAGCAGATTTAAACCAGCCAGACCCGAAAAAAGAGAGGTTTCCTCTTGCTCTCTCACATTGCCAACAGAACTTTGAAAAGACCAGGCACTCTCTCTCCACTTGCTTCCGTGTTTTTCACCAGTTCAGGAAACAATTGCTTCATGAAATGCCCATTGGGCTTCACTTTGTGCCACTGGCCTCCAAATCCAGTCACACTCTGCACCTGAATGCCTTCAGCTGGAATAATTGTTGGTGTGAATGACGGCCCGACAATCAGCCAAGCTGATAAAATCTCACCAAAGTGTGAAATGACCGGGAGCAGAGTAGAAGGAGGGGAGCACGCAAGATCCATCGTCCAAACCGCTCTCAGCAGCGCCCAGGAGATTCCAGGCCATTTTCAATCAACTGTTCTTGCTCTGATTGTTCACTCCTGCTTTGGTCTTTTTGAAATACGTTTCAGCTTACGCTGCCAGAGCAACGTGTCGCTTTCCCCAGTTGCTTCCAGTTTTTTTTTTAACCAATTCAGGAAAATAATCGCACCAGTATTGGGCCAGCGGGCTTAAGCTTGTAGAACAACGTATCGCTTTCTGTCCTTGCTTCCAGTTTTATAATCAATTCAGGGAAATAATCGCCTCAGTAACAGCTCAGTCCACCGGAACAGTCGGAGGTGTGAATGATGGCCAGACAATCAGCTGGGTGGTTACAAGCTTCCAAAACGTCAGGACCGTTATCCCTTCCGGTCATGTTGCTCACCATTGTATCACACAGAGGATGCTGCCTCTAACAGCAGAGTGGCGCAGCGGAAGCGTGCTGGGCCCATAACCCAGAGGTCGATGGATCGAAACCATCCTCTGCTAAGATGTCTTGATCTGTATCTACCAGGGGGAACAGATTTTGTGCTTGTTCAGAGGCAGGGGCTGAAATGCAAAGCAGGATGAATTGAGAGTCATGTTTTTCTGATAATAGATGGTACTGGAACTTGAGCGTTCGACCCTCTTCTGGGCCTCACAGAAAAAGGGTTGCACAGAACCAAAGTTCTCGGGCCTTAACCCCGACAATCAGCCAAGCCGAAAAAATCTCACCAAAGTGTGAAATCACCAGAGTGGAAGGAGGGGAGCGCGCTACATCCGTCGTCCAAACATAGATATTTAAAAACCACTCTCAGCTGCACCTAGGAGATTCCAAGCCTTTTTCAATTGACTGCTCTTGCTCTGATTGTTCGCTCATGCTTTGATCTTTTTCAAATACGTTTCGGCTTAAGCTGCTAGAGCAACGTGTGGCTTTCTCCCCTTGCTTCCGGTTTTATAACCAATTCAGGGAAATAATCGCCTCAGTCACAGCCCAGCGGGCTTCAGCTTATCGAGCGACAGCCTCCAAATCCAGACAATGTGGATTCACTTCCCACTCTTTGTTCACACCTGATTGCATTCCACCAGAACAGTGGTGTGAATGATGGCCAGACAATCAGCCGGGTGGTTCGTCTTACCAAATGTGAGAAAGGTTATCCGTTCTGGTGGGGCTGCTCACCATTGTGTCACACACAGGGCGCTGCCTCCAACAGCAGAGTGGCGCAGCGGAAGCGTGCTGGGCCCATAACCCAGAGGTCGATGGATCAAAACCATCCTCTGCTAAGATGTCTTGCTTTGTACCTACCAGGGCAAAAGGCTTTTGCACTTGTTCGAAGGCAGGGGCCAAAATGCGAAGCAGGATGAATTGGGAGTCATGAGTTGAGAAAAGATTGCGCTGGAACTTGAGCGTTCTACCCTCTTCTGGGCCTCGTAGAAAAATGGTTGCTCAGAACCAAAGTTCTGGGCCCTTAAGCCAGAAGAGAAGTGGTTAAACGCTCAGTGCTATGATTTCATTTCAAACAAAGCTGCGTTCTCCTCTTTTTTCACCATTGGTTGACTTTTCCCCTTTTTAGAAAGCCCCAGTGGCCTAATGGATAAGGCACTGGCCTCCTAAGCCAGGGATTGTGGGTTCAAGTCCCATCTGGGGTGGCACTTCCCATCTTTTTCTGGTTGCATTGGAGGCCATATAATCAGCCCAACAGATTAAAACCAGCCAGACTTGGTAAAAGAGTGGGTTCCTGTTGCTCTCTCACATTGCCAACAAAACTGTGAAATGACCAGGAGCAGAGTAGAAGAAGACGAGCGTGCCAAGTCTGTCGTAAAATGCTTTATGTTTCACAGCCGTTCTCAGTGATTGGCTTTGTCAAATACAGTTGAGTGCAAAAGTTTGCATCCACTTACTTTGAAATGGCAAAAAGAGTAAAACAAAGATATTTTTTCATCAACATAATATTTACTGCTCATTAAGGTAGTACAAATGTTCCTTCATCATCAAAAGTAACAAGAATAGTCAAAGCGTGTATGAAAAGAAAGATATAGTGAAATAATGAAAATGATATCAGTCCAAAAGTTTGCACCCCCCTTTGTGAAATGTTCTCTAATACTTTGCATGTCCTCCGTTTGCCATTATAACCTCCCCAAAACTCTTTGGGTACCCTCTGAGCAGCTTTTGTATCCTCTCAGGTGTAATTTTAGCCCATTCTTCATTGCATATTTGTTCAAAGTCTCCCAGATTGCTTGGTTGTCTGCCATGCACAGCCTTCTTCAAATCTATCTTCAGCTTTTTCATGATATTCAAGTCTGGAGACTGGGAAGGCCATGGAAAAACATTCACCTTATTCTATTTAAACTGTTCCTGAGTTGACTTTGCTTTGTGCTTTGGATCACGGTCTTGTTGAAGGATCCATTCTCCCACACATACCTGTGCGAATTATGACCAAATAATTCGACTTTGGTCTCATCAGACCACATAATCTTTTGTTCACATGCTCTTTAGCATGCTCCAAGCATGCTACCTTATGTCTAGGAGTAAGCAATGGCTTCCTGCATGCTTTTCTCCCAAACAACCCAGACTTGTGTAGACTACGCTTTACTGTGGACATGTGGACTTTCATTCCAGTTGCCTCTGAGGACTTTTTCAGGTCCCCTGCTGTTTTTTTTTTGGATTCTTACATAGCTCTCGAACAAGTTTCCTAGCAGCTCTTTCAGTTATTTGTCCTGGTCTTCCACTTCTTGGTCAAGTCTTAGTGTTTCTACGTTTCTTCCATTTCTGGATTATGGTCTTCATAGTTGGTCCTGGTATCCCTAAACACTTTTAAATATTTTTATATCCCTCTCAAACTTTATGAAAGTTCACTAATTTCATTTTGAGGTCTTCTGACAGCTGTTATCCTTATCTCATTGTTTTTGTTGCTCTCAGCAAACTGCGTGAGACTGCCCCTGGAGATCCATCCACATTTACATATAAAATGTAAGGCCAATTTAACATACCTGGTGCCACTCATCAAGCATTAAGTGTTGACAGTGTTTTTTAAAGAACAGACACCTGATTTTACAGATTAAAGTTAATTACCTCGAGGGTGTATCAAGGGGGATGCAAACGTTTGTGCTGACATAATTTTAATTATTTCACTATAACTTTCTTTTTGTACACTCTTTGACCATTTTGGGTACTTTTGATGATGAAGAAACATTTGTACGAGCTGAATGTGCATTGCATAGTATGTTGATGAAAAAAATTCTTTGTTTTATTTTTTTGCCATTTCAAAGTACAGTAGTACCTCGCTATATGAGAATAATTTGTTCCATGACCGAACTCATATCATGTCGAAATTCTCGTTGAAGGAAACAGATTTCTCCATAAGAAATAATGGAAAGCCCATTAATGCGTTCCATGCCCCAACAATACACATTTACGCTTGTCCCAGCAATACATACCCCTTGTAAATGCAGTGTCATACACAATAGAATGTGAGATATACAGTTATTTATCCATTTTACATGAAAAGCAAGGTATAAAATGTTACATGAAAAAATAGGTTATGAAAAATCAACAATTCAAAAAAACATTAACAGAACTTTACCTTTACGTTCATAATGCAAAGCACAAAAAAAACAAAGTTCACAAAGCAGACGTGGAATCTCAAAAAATGGTACAATAATGCAGCGAGCAAGAGTACAGCAAGAGGCAAACACGAACGCAGAAGTGGTGTGACAAATTGGCCCTTTAACAAAAAAAACCAACCGTCACCATAAGATCCGGGACACTGAATATGTGACAAACCAAAATGAATAGTGAGGCACCTTAAATCAATTCCTCTTTTAGTGATGCAACAACCAACAAAAAAACCCTTCCAAACAATCAATCTTAATTCAATATTAACTTAAATAATAGTCCATCAAATTGTCCAGTAAATTGTCCATTCGTATCCAAAACAAAAGAGGGAAGAACTCACATATTCCCAAGTGAGGCTCTGATAATCCACCAAACAATGCAAAAATAAAGGTTTGGTCTCACCCAAAAAATGTCCTCTTCTCTGGGCTCAGTAGTTGAATCCACAGCATCAAATTTGGCAAAGGTTATCCAGCTTATCAAAGGGTCCAGGAAGAGAGAAGAAACAAATTCAGTGGGACTGGCATCAGGCCCCAAACAGGAATTCTCCAGCCCCTTGTTAGCCTCTCCGGTTAGCCTTTTTGGTTAGCCTCCCCTGGTTCCCCTGTCTAACCCAGGTAGGTATCTTTTTTCCACTTCCTGTCTCCACCCCACAGGAAGACACCCTTTTACTATCAAATTAAAAGTCTTTTTTTTACACGACATGACAAAAAA